CCAGTTAAGTCTTCGCCATAGTAGCATTTGTCGCAGATATATTGCTTTGTCTCTTGTGCGTTTAGTGCCGCCAACTGATGTACAAGGGGAATAACAGTACATTTTCATTTGAGAACCGCTATATTGTTATGATTTAATAAACAAATAAAGTAGTAATAACAATGATATTGTTATCATTACTATTACTACTACTACATTATGTTCTGTTGCTGGAAGGTTAAGGAACTTTTTAACCTATTATTGTTATTATTATTATGCTCTGTTGCTGGGAAGTGATGTCTTTTTTCCTCTGTGTATCTTGTAAAGGAGCAGCGACGTTCATTATGGTCTTCAACATAGCCTACTTTATTTAAATATTGCTATTCTTATACTTAAAATATTTTCTATCCATACATTGCTTTCATGTTCATATATTTGTACTTTCTCATATACCATATAGTTTATTCTTTACTTTATTTATGTGATGGGGAACATATCTGACTGTGCTTTTCATTAAACACTCTCTTTGGAAATATGACTTAAATTAAGATAAATAATAATAATTTAAAAATCCCCAACCACGCATTCTGCATAGACAGTGACATGGTGACATTTTCAAATGTCATCAACAAATAAATATATATAAATGAATAAATATCGAGGACAAAAGTGGCGCGTGAGCTGACACCAGGGCCTTCTGGTATTTGCTAAAGAATAGTATAAATTCCCACCAGCAGCTGACGCATGCGTATTAGCTATTCTTACTATTTTATTATTTTTTCTAGTGAAAATGGCTGCCTTTCAGCTTTAAACCTCAGCTGTTCAGGGGGGAAATATCCACCCCATAATCCAGAATTAGCACGATCGTTTAGGAAGTAAGCATCTTGCGGTTCAAAGATGTCCATATTGCTGCGTAAATAACATTATGCTTTTGCTTTCAAGAATGGAAGATAGATCTGTTTCATGTTTAACGTTAACCCATTACATTCCGTGATCCGCGTTCCAGATGAGGTAAAGTACTTTCTTTATTGCATTATTTAACGCAAAATTACATCTGTTTTATACTAAATTCAATTTTATTTGCAGTAATTAATAGAATAATCTATATTAACGACCAAATAGCGAAAGATACAGAATGACAGGACAACGATGGACTTGCATAAGCGATATTCCGCGGTCGCTGTACATTTTGTGACCAGACATTGTGTTTATCTAACTGTAGTGATGTGACCTACTTAATGTGTGAATATTTCCATAGTTTATATATAATTTATATAGCTACGCCTTCTTCTGCATTAACTTTCAGTGGTTAATTGCACAGGCCTGTTGTTTTCTTTTTGATTGACGTCGTCAATCAATCACTTTCGATGCACGCGGTCGATGCAAGATGTTGGAAAAGTTTGCAAAGCCTCACATTCAGTTGTTATTTCACAATATACTTTTCATTAACCACTTTATCTTGTAATATATCAAATGTTTTCAAATATATTTTATTTTAACAGAAAATGATGCACCAAGTAGCCAGCAACAGCAACGACTATGGTCTGGGTAGCATTGGGGACGATGGGCAACACCCAGCCAGTCACTTTGAGTTGTGCAGTTCACAGTCCAACAAATTTTACACCACCGCCCCACCTCCTGCACTACATCTGCCACTCCCAAACTTGCCCCCCTTGCCACAGAGCATGATCAAGCCTATGTCCTGCCAGATGCAGGACTCCCAGAATGAATTTCACTCCCAAACCGTTCGAATGAGGGCTGCAGATGCTCCAGAGGGCTGCAAGAAAAAGAAGGGCCTCGGAAAGTCTGGACGACGAGGCAGGCCCTCAGGTACCACTAAGTCCGCAGGCTACAGGACAAGTACGGGACGACCGCCCGGCACCACCAGAGCAGCGGGCTTTAAAACCAGCCCAGGACGGCCACTGGGCACCACCAAAGCTGCAGGCTACAAGGTGAGCCCAGGTAGGCCTCCAGGCAGCATCAAAACTCTGGCAAGGCTTAACAAACTGGACTATGGCGCCTGCAATGGTGCACCGTTCCCTTACAACATGATGCAGAAGAGGGCCTTGTGCGAAGCCACTGTGAAAGAGAAAGACACTATTACCGAGTGAAAACGTTTTTTTTATTGCAAGGGGGGACTTGGGATGTGGGTGCATGTCCAAAGTCACAGTGAATTGTGTTTGAGATGTCAAACTCTTGCAAGGAAGAAAAAAAGATGGATTTTGATACTTCAACTCATGTGTATGTGCCAGTGTTATCCTTTTGTGTATCTTTTTCCAAAGACCATTAGCATTACCTTTCTCGAATGACATATGTTAACCTATTGTACAGATGTGCATGACAATAGTATTGTGAAATAAAGTTACAGTATTGAACACATATTAATCTTTTCAGTCCCTTAGACTTTGCTCAAGTGAAATGTAGAGAGAACTGCAATTGTGTTGTTTTACATTTAACTTGACCTTTTCCTTAATACTTTCGATGTAAAGATACTGCTGGGAACAGTCTTCATCACATAGTTTGTTTCATTCTAGATTTTAGAACATTGCATTTGACTTGAAAAATCTGATCACTAGTAATAACTCCTCTGTTGCCCTGATGTGTATGTGAAAGTGCTCTGTTTGTAATGTCCAATGATATGTTGATCTTTTTTGTTGTTGTTGTATTTATGAAATGTCTGGTGCCCTTTTCAGACAGGATGGTGTGGATTTTTGATAAAATGTCAAGTCACAGATTTCAGCAATGACATAATGCTCTTGTAAATATAACTGTGAGTTTATATCAGCCATTGTGTTCTGTTCAACCTAAAATTGTTTTGCTGATCAATGATCCACTCTAGAATTCCGTGTTACTTTTTTTTTTTTTAAATCACTGGACTAAAACAAGTCTCAGTTTTGTGTAATTGAATACACCTGATCTGATAAAAAAAATAAATAAACAGTTATCACTCCAAAAAATAAGTTGTGCGGGAAAACTGCTAAAACGCATTTTCTTTGCAAAAATTATATATAAATTATTTTTTCCAGATCTATTAATTTGGTGTGAAATTGTGTCTATTATGAAGTAATAATATATGACTGTAACTGTGTAAACAATAGAACGTATGTAGCAAAAATATGTAAACAAAATATTTAAAATAACTGACTTTGCATGTGCTAAATAGGAAATACAATATTTACATGTTGTAAATATGCACATATTGTAAGACAAAACCTGTTAAGACATAGCATTAAAATAACGGTATGAACATAACTACGTAAAATGAAACCTAAAGAACTCTATTGCACATAATTCAATATAAAAATGTAACTTGCATTTTTTACATTCTAGAATTTTTACATTCTTCTCCAAAAAAGAATTGTTCAGAACGACTAAGATTTTTGTAGAAACAGCGGGCAAATCATAGGTCCCTCATACTGTCTTCGTTCTGTTAAATATGTGTCTATACAAACACTGCAAGCGGATAAGGTATAATATGACCAAATTCTCAAAAAGGAGTTTTAGAATAACTTTTATTGCAAATGTACTGCCACTTCTATATTTATTTCTTACGGGTAATCTTAAAATAGGCCCATAAACGAGTTACATTTGATCTCATGACACAATGGATGTTGACGCATGGCTGTGGCAAGCCAATTTAACATTTAACCTAACTGCCATCTGTTTCTGTTGGTAATACACATTGGTGCTTTTTAAAATTACTATTAACTACTCCAATAATGATTAATATCGTATTTAATTTTATTAATTTATTTTTATTTGAATGTGAATACTTATCCATCGGATATTAACATTTATTTTTCTGCTACTATCCCAAATAGTGACAAATAACTATTCCATTGTTACAGAAATTAATTACATCTTTTCCCACCATTGAGTTCTATGGTTCATGTCAGCTATTCACTAATATGCGTTGCAGTTTCACACCAATTTTGTTGGTATCTATTTTAGGTTTAATAATTAATAAACTTAATTATTAGATACTAGTACCTATTTCTGAGACACTATTTTTTTTAATCAAAATTGTAATATTTCTTCATATCGTATTTAATTTTATTAATTTCTTTTTATTTGAATGTGAATACTTATCCATCGGATATTAGCATTTAGTTTTCTGCTACTATCCCAAATAGTGACAAATAACTATTCCATTGTTACAGAAATTAATTACATCTTTTCCCACCATTGAGTTCTATGGTTCATGTCAGCTATTCACTAATATGCTTTGCAGTTTCACACCAATTTTGTTGGTATCTATTTTAGGTTTAATAATTAATAAACTTAATTATTAGATACTAGTACCTATTTCTGAGACACTATTTTTTTTAATCAAAATTGTAATATTTCTTATCTCATTGTTTACTTGCTTTTTTTACGTGTTAGGCCTATATGTCAGCATGGTTAATTTATAGGAATTAGAAATCTTATTAGTAAGAATAAAAATGTTAACAATTGGAGTACAGCCTAATGTCTAGGAACTATAAATATGAGTAGTAACATAAAAGGTAGCACAGTTAGTTACTAGTAAGGAATGCATGTTAAACCCGCTTGCCATAACTGTCTGACATATTACACTTATGCGTGGCATGGCCTAATTTCCAACCACCCACCAAATGCGCAAAGAAAACTTAGAAAATTAAGCATGACGGAGCATGTGACTGTTAATCGAGACCAATAAATTATGTTTTCTGCTCATATGATTTATTGTGGTCGGCTACCTTGCAAAGCACGAGCGATCTCTCTAAAATGGAGGAAGTTACGCCTTTGTTAGGACAAGGAAACAAATGGCGTGAGGGTTAAAAAGCAAATGCTCACTGTTGTGTCTTCCATGCGCCCAACACGCACCGCGTCGACTGTGACTATGCAGGACGCATTTGGGATAAAGTTAAACTTGCGTTTGCACATTGTCCACATGCATTTAGAGTAAGTGAGAGATGTACCTGGGAAATATTGAATACTGACTGGGGGTTGGGTGTGCTATGCCGATTGGTCGCTCTCACCAGCACACACACACACACACACACACGCAGTCAGTCAGGGACTGTTTTAACACACATACAACCAGGGGCACACTCGGCAAGAGCGGCATACAATCATGTATTTTAATAGAAATCGTGGCCGCTGAAAAACGTGCTTTCGATGCATTGACCTGGTGCTTCGGGGGAAGGTGACAGGCGCTCAGTTTAATTCTCGATTATTTATTAATGTCCATTTTTGATGTCCGAGAGAGAAATGAGTGCCGAGGCCGGGCCTAGTGCAAATGCTGCTGGGATTTTGCATATCCGCTTTCACAAATTGACAAAAAGTAACGCTACATGCTCGAATTTGAAGAGCTTTCCGGTGGTTTTGTCGTGACCGAGTCGTAAATGGTAAGAAACCGGCGATTTCTCTCATGTAACGTTACCTTTTGAATTTGGTACGTTTTTCATCTCACCGTCGTGGGTGACTTTACTGCTGTACGACTGTATGTGAACTGTTGATGCACATGATGATAATGTAACATTCTTTACTAGCGTTTTCACACTGAAATCGCGGCAGAGGTCATCTTTAAACAGTCCAGTAGGGGCATATCGAAGTGTCTTTGACATAACGATTCATGTTGAGTTTTTCAATTTCTCTTATCTTTGTCTTGATGGATTCTTGACAAGACGGCCTACGAGGCTTGCGACTTAAACCCGAGTAGCCACCTTGTTACAAAATTCCGTTTATGATGCTAGCTATGTTTTGGAACATGATAGCTGGTTTCTAACCGGTTTAAGATGGCCATTAGCTGGTCGACCAGCTTTCATGCTTCAAACAACATTATGGCCACCTTAAGCTGGCATGTGGTAAACTGGTCAAAGATGGTCTTCCAGCTCGCACCAGTTAGAAACCAGCTAGCAGTTTAATCTGCATTTTCAGCAGGAGTATCGCATGTGTATGCTGGTGTTTTGCAACATTACAGTGTTTTTGCTGTCAAAATGTCATGTTAATGTAGAATCATCTTGTCTCCTGCATAATTGTTTTAAATTAGATTGCAATGTTCAGTTTAATGCACAACTCATTAAGTGTTTTTTATCCGTTTGCAACAAACCCTTCAGGAGTTAAGAAAAGCCTGGGTTATTATTCTTTAGGTCATCTTAAAAAAACCAAATTATAAAAGCATTTCCCTGTATTTTGTTGCAGGATGGAGCCATGACAACATGAATCAATCCTACAAAGTGGCTGGCAGGGATGGCTCGGAGTGTCGTGGTGATCCACAGGAGACCAAGGCACTTGATAGCCGCATCAGCTCCTGTGGACACCAGAGCACAAAGCGACAGGGGGACCAGGGGTCTGCCATGCATTTCTTAAACTCTGGCTACAAACTCTCGGCATCGCCGTTTGTGTACAATCAGAGAGAATCCACCTCCAACTACAGTCCGCTGAGGAGACTTCAGGATCTGACCACTATGGTGAACCATCCCGACATGAGTTTGCAGGACAAGGACTTTCACGGACGAAGTAAATTGCTCAAGCACAATCCCATCGGAGGAGGAGAGTTCGGAATAGGCCTTTATCACGCATCCAATTCGCAAGGAAACACTGACAGGACTACTATTCAGGATCTGGACAAAAATGGTTTCTCACCAGTAAGCTCTGATAGCTTGGAACATTTTCCATCCATCTCAAATGGAATTTTGCATTTTGAGTCAACCCTGTTTGATAGTGGGGACAGCAAGGATAATGATGAGGAGGCGCATGATAGGGGTAATGCAGTGGCACCGTTTAAAGACATGTCAAAGAAGTGCCTGAAAAGAAATCTGGCAAATATAAAGGCTCCTAGCAGCCACAGGCTGGACCTAAGTACAAATAAACATGGAAGTTGTAACCTTGTTTCTAAAAATACAGTGAAGTCTAACCCTTCTGGTAGTCCCTCACATTTGCCTGTCGAGATCATGATGGAGGATTTTGACAGTATGGATGATTATTCAGACAGTGACTGTGATCTACCCAGCACTGAGAACAGTGCTTCAATATTCAACTCCGGTCTCTCTAAAAGACCAAATTCACCCAGTGACTCCCATTCGAATCCTGTAAGATGTTTTTACGTTCATCATATTTCTTATTTTGTTGTCTTGATTGTGTTTTTTCCCTAACAGGTGTACCAGTTATATTGTTAAAGAGTTTCCACCTAAGAATGCAGGAAGGAAAATCCATAAATTTTTTTGTATACGGTGTATATGTACGTACATATACACTGCATATATATTCATCCATGCACACACACACACAGTGGGGTCCAAAGATTCAAAACCACATTGAAAATCTGTTATTTAAACCTTGAAACAAACTTCAAAGAAATGTTATGACATTTTTGAAGATTCTGAACAATTTCTAAATCACTAATCTGGAAACCAAATTTGTGACCTTGATCATGTGACCTAATATGTTTTTGTTTCCACTAAAGCACAAAGTTTCAAATCATGCTGGATAACATGATGTTTAGGTTTTACTCAAATATGTGGAGCATCTCAAGTGCTTCTCTGATTAAAGCAAAATAAAGTTGTTTTGTATTGGAAAATGGTATTCTATCAAGTAATGAAAGCTGTATAAGCAATGAAAAGGCTTATATGCTAAATATAAGCATTTTCATTAGCAGTTTCAGATTTTTGGACCCCACTGTATGTATTATTCAATTATGTAAGTACGCATTTATTTTGCACACTCTTTACACAAACATTAAGAAAATGCAGGAAGGAAAATCCATACATTTTTTTGTATACGGTGTATATGTACGTACATATACACTGCATATATATTCATCCATGCACACACACACACACAGTGGGGTCCAAAGGTTCAAAACCACATTGAAAATCTGTTATTTAAACCTTGAAACAAACTTCAAAGAAATGTTATGACATTTTTGAAGATTCTGAACAATTTCTAAATCACTAATCTGGAAACCAAATTTGTGACCTTGATCATGTGACCTAATATGTTTTTGTTTCCACTAAAGCACAAAGTTTCAAATCATGCTGGATAACATGATGTTTAGGTTTTACTCAAATATGTGGAGCATCTCAAGTGCTTCTGTGATTAAAGCAAAATAAAGTTGTTTTGTATTGGAAAATGGTATTCTATCAAGTAATGAAAGCTATATAAGCAATGAAAAGGCTTATATGCTAAATATAAGCATTTTCATTAGTAGTTTCAGATTTTTGGACCCCACTGTATGTATTATTATTCAATTATGTAAGTACGCATTTATTTTGCACACTCTTTACACAAACATTAAGAAATATTTGAAAACCAAATGTGTAGTATAACAAAGGTCTTGGTAATTTTTTTTAAATCAAGCAACCAAGCAGAATCACTTCTGTCAATTGACCACAGTAATTGGCTGATGCAGATAATATCAAAATGAACTGTCGGTCTACTTTTTGTTTAATTTAATGAACAGTGCAGCCAAAATATGCATTATTTTTGGCATATGTGCTAATAAGTAGCACAATATTTATATCAACATAATTGCATGGTTCCTTAGATAAAAGTGTGTTATTGCAAGGTTTCCTTACTTAAAATTGTGTATTTTTTTCATCTTAATATGCAGAAACCCAACTCATTCATAAGTAGATTTGGCTGAAAAGTATAAACACTGGCACTATCAAAACATTGCTTTGCCACAACAACTTTGTCTTAACCAGTATTTGGAGTTTTTTGACCATTGCACACGGAACTTTGGGGAACTTGTTTGAAAACTGCCATTATTTTTGCAATTTAGTGTGGTGGCTTTTGTGGTGTATAAATTACACACTTCGACTTCAGCAACACATTTGCTACTTGTAGGCAGAGGTATGTTTATTTATAGTTGGTATTGCCCAGTTGTTTTTAAATTACAAGTTGTCATAGATGGGAGTCATTTGTATTACCCTTCCTCAAGCTGAACACCTCTTGAACCACACAGTTGCACTGAATCTTTGAGTACGAGCTTGACTTCATTGCAAAGGTGTAGGCTAAGTGCTTGTTGGTTCATTCTTCTTTTGTGAAACTTATCTGACCACAATCTTTTCACAGTAAGGACAAAGGCCATAGTATGGTGGGTTGCAGTTAGGCTGTCACCCACAAATGGCTCTTTGCAAGGTGAAAGTATCTGAAATGTTAAAAGAGTAGCCTAAACAAACAACTCAAGCTGTATTGACTCATGTTATTGATGATTAAAGAATGATGATTAAACTGACAACTTTTTATTTTAACCCAAAGTCCAACAGCCCAAAGAAGAAACAGCTCCCAGGTATAAAGTACTCTGTTGAAGATGTCGTGTGGGCCAAATTCAACCGCAGACCCTGGTGGCCTTGTCATGTAACCACTGACCCACAGATTGAAGTCCACACCAAAATGAAAGGTGATCTCTTTTGTTTTAATCACCTTTTGTATGACTATTCATAGTGGATGCCTAATTTCACATGGTTGATGTAACACTTCTGTAACGGCACATGCTATTGACATAATATAGTTAGTTATCTTTTTTTTTAATGTCTTATAAAGTTAAATAAAATATTATAACATTTTCTTGCAGATCCCAGTCGTCGGCCATGTCGTCTTTATTTTGTCAGAATGTTTGGGGAGATCGTAGACCAAGCTTGGGTCCCGGCAAAAGCCACTTTTCCTTTTGAAGGAGGTCATCAGTTTGAAAAACTGCCTGTACTTAGACGAAGAGGAAGACAGAAGGACAAAGATTACAAATACACGGTAAAGCTTTTGTGTGTTGCAAACTTGTAACTTTTTGCTGTTATTTTTTGAAAAAATGAATGTTTATGATCAAATGAAATGAATGCTTTTGATAGAAAGTTAATGAGTTTTGTTCATTCTACAGGTTCCTAAGCGTCTAATGCCTTCATGGAAAGCTAGTGTCTTGGAGGCAGAGGCAGCACTGACCAAATGGTTAAATAGCGAACCCTGTGATCTACCCAGCACTGAGAACAGTGCTTCAATATTCAACTCCGGTCTCTCTAAAAGACCAAATTCACCCAGTGACTCCCATTCGAATCCTGTAAGATGTTTTTACGTTCATCATATTTCTTATTTTGTTGTCTTGATTGTGTTTTTTCCCTAACAGGTGTACCAGTTATATTGTTAAAGAGTTTCCACCTAAGAATGCAGGAAGGAAAATCCATAAATTTTTTTGTATACGGTGTATATGTACGTACATATACACTGCATATATATTCATCCATGCACACACACACACACAGTGGGGTCCAAAGGTTCAAAACCACATTGAAAATCTGTTATTTAAACCTTGAAACAAACTTCAAAGAAATGTTATGACATTTTTGAAGATTCTGAACAATTTCTAAATCACTAATCTGGAAACCAAATTTGTGACCTTGATCATGTGACCTAATATGTTTTTGTTTCCACTAAAGCACAAAGTTTCAAATCATGCTGGATAACATGATGTTTAGGTTTTACTCAAATATGTGGAGCATCTCAAGTGCTTCTCTGATTAAAGCAAAATAAAGTTGTTTTGTATTGGAAAATGGTATTCTATCAAGTAATGAAAGCTGTATAAGCAATGAAAAGGCTTATATGCTAAATATAAGCATTTTCATTAGCAGTTTCAGATTTTTGGACCCCACTGTATGTATTATTCAATTATGTAAGTACGCATTTATTTTGCACACTCTTTACACAAACATTACGAAATATTTGAAAACCAAATGTGTACCAAAGGTTCAAAACCACATTGAAAATCTGTTATTTAAACCTTGAAACAAACTTCAAAGAAATGTTATGACATTTTTGAAGATTCTGAACAATTTCTAAATCACTAATCTGGAAACCAAATTTGTGACCTTGATCATGTGACCTAATATGTTTTTGTTTCCACTAAAGCACAAAGTTTCAAATCATGCTGGATAACATGATGTTTAGGTTTTACTCAAATATGTGGAGCATCTCAAGTGCTTCTCTGATTAAAGCAAAATAAAGTTGTTTTGTATTGGAAAATGGTATTCTATCAAGTAATGAAAGCTATATAAGCAATGAAAAGGCTTATATGCTAAATATAAGCATTTTCATTAGTAGTTTCAGATTTTTGGACCCCACTGTATGTATTATTATTCAATTATGTAAGTACGCATTTATTTTGCACACTCTTTACACAAACATTAAGAAATATTTGAAAACCAAATGTGTAGTATAACAAAGGTCTTGGTAATTTTTTTTAAATCAAGCAACCAAGCAGAATCACTTCTGTCAATTGACCACAGTAATTGGCTGATGCAGATAATATCAAAATGAACTGTCGGTCTACTTTTTGTTTAATTTAATGAACAGTGCAGCCAAAATATGCATTATTTTTGGCATATGTGCTAATAAGTAGCACAATATTTATATCAACATAATTGCATGGTTCCTTAGATAAAAGTGTGTTATTGCAAGGTTTCCTTACTTAAAATTGTGTATTTTTTTCATCTTAATATGCAGAAACCCAACTCATTCATAAGTAGATTTGGCTGAAAAGTATAAACACTGGCACTATCAAAACATTGCTTTGCCACAACAACTTTGTCTTAACCAGTATTTGGAGTTTTTTGACCATTGCACACGGAACTTTGGGGAACTTGTTTGAAAACTGCCATTATTTTTGCAATTTAGTGTGGTGGCTTTTGTGGTGTATAAATTACACACTTCGACTTCAGCAACACATTTGCTACTTGTAGGCAGAGATATGTTTATTTATAGTTGGTATTGCCCAGTTGTTTTTAAATTACAAGTTGTCATAGATGGGAGTCATTTGTATTACCCTTCCTCAAGCTGAACACCTCTTGAACCACACAGTTGCACTGAATCTTTGAGTACGAGCTTGACTTCATTGCAAAGGTGTAGGCTAAGTGCTTGTTGGTTCATTCTTCTTTTGTGAAACTTATCTGACCACAATCTTTTCACAGTAAGGACAAAGGCCATAGTATGGTGGGTTGCAGTTAGGCTGTCACCCACAAATGGCTCTTTGCAAGGTGAAAGTATCTGAAATGTTAAAAGAGTAGCCTAAACAAACAACTCAAGCTGTATTGACTCATGTTATTGATGATTAAAGAATGATGATTAAACTGACAACTTTTTATTTTAACCCAAAGTCCAACAGCCCAAAGAAGAAACAGCTCCCAGGTATAAAGTACTCTGTTGAAGATGTCGTGTGGGCCAAATTCAACCGCAGACCCTGGTGGCCTTGTCATGTAACCACTGACCCACAGATTGAAGTCCACACCAAAATGAAAGGTGATCTCTTTTGTTTTAATCACCTTTTGTATGACTATTCATAGTGGATGCCTAATTTCACATGGTTGATGTAACACTTCTGTAACGGCACATGCTATTGACATAATATAGTTAGTTATCTTTTTTTTTAATGTCTTATAAAGTTAAATAAAATATTATAACATTTTCTTGCAGATCCCAGTCGTCGGCCATGTCGTCTTTATTTTGTCAGAATGTTTGGGGAGATCGTAGACCAAGCTTGGGTCCCGGCAAAAGCCACTTTTCCTTTTGAAGGAGGTCATCAGTTTGAAAAACTGCCTGTACTTAGACGAAGAGGAAGACAGAAGGACAAAGATTACAAATACACGGTAAAGCTAACTTGCAACTGTTTTGTTCTTATATTTTGAAAAATGAGTGCTTATGATCAAATGACATTAATGCTTTTGATAGAAAGTTTATGAATTTTGTTCATTCTACAGGTTCCCAAACGTCTAATGCCATCATGGAAAACTAGTGTCTTGGAGGCAGAGGCAGCACTGACCAAATGGTTAAATAGCGAACCTCCATTGACTTTAATTCGGGATGTGCACATGCCTATTACAGAAGACAAGGCACCAAAAAGTCCTGCTTGCCCGACATCTACTACCCAGTCCACATTATCAAGCTCACTTTTGTCCAATGTACTAGATGCATCCGTTAAGAACAAAGGAAAACCTGGCACTGGAAGCAAAAAGAAGGCAACTAAGAAGAACAGCTCAACTGTAAAATCTCCTGTGAAACTAATTGTAAACTCTTTATCATCTAAACCATTATCAATCACTTCATCGGACAGCTACAAACCTTCCACAGCTGCCGAACGGCACAAACCAGACCCCCTAGATAGTCCGTATTCAGATATTGACTCTGTCCCAAGGATTCTGTGTCCCAAACGTTCACAGCAATTGCCACAGGAAGAGGCGGTGAAGGAACTGAGCACTAAACATAAGAAAGTACAGCCAAGTAAAAAGATGAAAAAAGCCAACATGGATAAGCCGGTGAAGAAGACAGAGGCTGGTTCAAAATGCACAACCAACAGTAAGCTAAAGAAGTCAACACCCAAAGAAAAAACACTTAGGGCTACGAACTCCAGACAGAAGAAAAGCAGTTCCCCAGGGTCCTCGGATGGGTCTTTTGCCATGCACTCTTTCTATTTACCTGCCAGCACTGGCTTAATCTCAAGAGCACTTGCCGCCAGTGAAGAAACCAAGGAGAAAGATTTAAGTCAGGAGCCAAAATCTCGCTCCCCATGTGCTGGCGATGAACGATCAGAGATTTACAACAAGTGCTCATCCCCCACCAACCATTCTGAGTTGTCAAAACAACAATGGCAGGAAAAAACGGAGGCCAGCGAAGAGACCACAGATACCTCTATCTCTCACACACCACCAAACCCAACTCTTAAGTTTACAAGAATCCAAAATGAGGACGTTCAGAATGGACCTCGACATAAAGGTTCCAAGTCAGATGTGACTGAATCCTCCCTCAATTCCGTTAAAATCAAAAACGAGAGCATGATCTCAGACACTTCATCTTCGTCCTTCCCGTCTCCCTCCATCTCTCCCATGGACGCTTTCCAGGATATAAAGGAGCTTTCTTTCAGGTCTCTTGTCAAAGAGGAATGCAGCTCAGGAGAACCTTCGCTCCGTGCGGATTCAAACTACAAATTCAGCACTTTCCTAATGCTCCTGAAGGATCTGCACGACAGCCGGGAGAAGGAAGGGAAACCTTTAACCCTTCCTCCCACCTCTCCATCCTCTCTCATCAGGGAAGAACCTTCTCTTATCCCACCTGGAGAAGAAACAACAAATGAGGTGCTTTGTGAAAAGAACTGGAAGGCGATTGCGGATCAGAACAGTCGGCAGGGAAAGACATCAATGCCAAACAGCTCAAAAAAGAGCAAGGCTAAGCCGAAATCATCGGTGAAAAAGGAGACACAAAAACACGATGGTGGGAACAATTTTGTTTCTCCACTGAAAAAGCGGAACTCATCAGCAGGTTTGGATGCACTTGAAAAGAGTTTGCCTCTGTTAGGGGAACTTTCCAACTCTCACCATGATGCTGTTCCTGATGTCTGTGACAAAGGCACCATCTCCAAGGTTGCTCCTAAAAAGCGATGGCAAACATTTGAGTCTGGCATTGGGAAAAGCACCAAGCCAAAGAGCGATCCGGTTGGTTTGAATCAAAATGTAGTGAAGGAGTCCACGGAGCTAAATGGAGTTTTCAAAGACAGTCTTGAAGAAACGGCTCATTCTGACATCCCTGATAAAAAAGATGCTTCAGGTAACTGAAATATTAGATTAAGTCTCAAAAGTTATGTTTAATGTTAAAAGTTAAATGTTTTATGCTAAATTCAATGCATTTTTAATGATTCTGTTCTCAGAAAACAAAAGGCTCAGAAAACCAAGCAAGAGGCTGATTGAATGCAGTGAAGAATATGAAGAAATATTTTCCACAAAGAAAAAAGCAAAGAAAACTCCAGAGTCCTGTAAAACGGTAAGCTGTTTCTTCAACTCTTTACATTGTTTCTGTTGATCCAATGGGCTTCAAACCACAGAAATGTATTTTTTTTTAGCAAGTAAAATTTATTTTCAGTAATTCATCGAAAAATGAACATTCTGTCATCCTCATGTAATTTAAGTCATATTTTACTTTCGTCCATGGACACAAAAGCAGAATTTTGGATGTTATAATATTTTGCTCTTCTCCATACAACAAAAGTGGATACAAGAATTATCAGGGCTTCAAAATGACAAAAAACCTATATAAATTGCAGTTTCTTTCATAGTCTCAATCATGCTTGCATTCAATTCGAAACATTCAAATGCATGCAAGAGCCAATGATGTTTGGTGTTATTGACATTGACTTGTGACACAACATGCAACACGAGGTGCCAAGTTTGAATATACACAAATGAGATTTGAGAGCATAGGCTATAATTGATGGGTGCAATTTTCCATACAAAAAGGTACTAAAATGATGTCATAATTCAGTTTTGAGTGGGGTATTTGTAACGTGCACCAACTGTATTTCTATATGTGAATAATGTTATTTCATACCTTTCCTGAAGGGATCTTTGATCGCCAACACTAATGCTGAGCAGCCGGCACCTGAGCAGATCGCGCCTGATGCTTTAAGCTCTTCACCTGAAAAACCCTCTGAGCAGGCCACACCAGAGGAGCAGAAAGAACCAGAAGATGGTCTGGTATCACCTTCAGCACCATTATCGCCATCCTGTGGAGGTCCATCGCTAAACAGAGAGTCATGTGAGAAGAAATCTGGTAAGAATGTATAGTTTAAGGTAGTGCTGGGCGGTAGGACCAAAAATTTATGTCACGGTATTTTTCAAAATTATACCGGTTTCCCGGTACATGACCGTATTTTTTTTTTTCAAGCATGACCGGGTGTTAACCATATTTTGTACTGATTGAGAGAGGAAATACTGCCGTATATTGACTTAGAATGCCCTATTTTACTGTCATGACGAGTGAATATTGTCAAAAAATACCACACTAAATAGTGACTAAACACGACCCCTTTTAATACATGTTAACCAGGAGTAACTCTCATTTATAATCGCGGCATCGTCTGATAAAATCAACATGCATCTACACTAAAGAGCGGCTGTGCGGTTGTTTTGGCTATTACTTTTTGTCTCATGCAGCGCACTGCCTGCGTCTGAGGAACAAACTAAAAAAACAACAAACAAAAAACTGCATGTGATATGAACTACGCTCATATTTATAATTCCAAACAATCAGTAAGCGACAGGTGGTAGGAAACGCTGTTTTGTACTCATTTATTGACGAGTCGGCTGTGGTGCGGCCAACTGAATGTGCTGCTTCTCTCCCG